ACCGGACCAACTTTTACGAGAATGTGTTTCTAATGAGGACAGATACTTTGAAACTTAAACATGGCTAAAATTTGCATCTGAAACAGTAGGACGAGGTTCCTGAAAATGTTGTTCTGACTATGCATTGTTTATGATCAGCCCAAATGTGTATTGAGGCGAAAAATGGCTGAAATATGCACTTTTACAGGATGAGGTTCCTTGAAATTTAACTCTGCCTACGCATTGTTTATGATCAGCCCAAACGTTTATGCATATACAAGCATATAAAAATGCTCGAGTAATTTTCTAATCGGAAATCTTAGTTGAGGTTGTAGTTGGAGCTATTTAACCATTATATTGTGTTCACTTATTTTTTGAATGCATAGACATTGGAAATCCTCATGCTTTAATACCTTGGGGTGTATGCCATGTTTGAATAGAAATAAATGATGAATTGAATTGAATCGAATTGAATTGAATTGAACTGAATTGAATTGCAATAAATAGTAAACTGAATTAAAATATTGTCAATATTGTCAATTGAATGCGGTAGACAGTTCAATTGTTTTGCATTTAATAGAGGACAAATACATTAGGCGGTTCTGTATTTTGCTCAACTATACACAGTAAAAACTGACGGCACCTCATGCACCATTGCACTGCACATTTTTGTCCCAAAATCATGAGCACTTGAGGCTCTTGACAGGAAACTGAGACAGTTGTGGCTATATATTTGCAACAACACAAAAGTGAAGCTCAAGTGCATGAGGTGTTAGGAAGTTGCCAGTTACGTATCACATGGTGTACTTGACGTACTTGACTCTTCGCGTGCATCAACTTGTCGATTCACGTGCATGACGTGGAGTCCCTTTTTACAGTGTATATGAATAGGCCTATCTCGTTTTCGTTACCAGGCTATTAAAACGAAAATTGATCGTGTCAATTTTATAGTGAAACACGTGAGGCAAATGAAAACGAGTAATTCAGGTGCAATTACTCAACCACCTGCTGGTGGATTGAGAATATAAGATGTGGGGAAAACTCGAGGCTGAAATTAAAAAAAAAAAACAAGGCAGTGGCATAGGCGTCGCCAGGAATTTTTGTAGATGGAGGCAAAGCGCATTATTTCCCCAAATTCTTGTACTTTCTCTAGCATATTCTCAACTTAACATTTTTCGAGGGTGGGCGGAGGGAAACTTGCCCACCCCACCCCATTGACACCCCGCGGACGCCCATGTTGTTAAATGTGTATCACATTAACAGCAATAGTACTTCGCACATCGTCGTCTTCTTTTTTTCTGTTCTTTTTTCCTCCTTTTTTGTTGGTGGGGGGGGGGGCTTTTCCAGGGGGCAGGCAACCCCCGGCTTCCTTGCTCCCATCTCGCGACGCCAATGGGCAGTGGTGCAGGCATGTGCGATTTTTTTTTTAGGAAAACAATTCCGTCCAAGCGGACATCCCAGCCAGACAGAATTGTGGGGTGATAGCATTGTGTTCCTTTTATCCCTTTTTCTAAAGATCCTCTTCTGGGGTGATGTTTTTCTATTGTTAAGATAGTGGGGTGATGTGTCCTGAAAGGAACATCACCCCACAAGTAGGGTATGGTAAGAACTGAATACAGTGTATATATATATATATATATATATATCAATGCCTTCCGTAACAAGCTTTTGCTTTCTGTGAAATGGCCTCCATACGTTTGTATAAAGGGAAAAAACAACATTTGCAAACATCGAAAAATAAAACTACCAAGTTGTTACGAAATACCTTACTAGGATGTTGGTAAATGACGTGCTTAAGCATCCTGTAAAAATATGGCACCTGGTGTGAAGCCATTTTCAAGAAAATGGTATATTTGTCTACATTTCCAACGCTGGTCGGCTGACCATCGTTCGAAAAACCTAACTATTTTTCAATTACTGCACCAAATTTACCATTTTTTTTTAGTCTAAATTTAGTTTTGCTAGCTTTTGGTTCCATGCTCATGAACGGGTGCAGGCCAGCTAGTCTGGTTCCCTTACCTTACAATTTTCTGGTATGTTTGATCCATTTCATCTTTAGTGGAGTCAGGGAACCAGACTAATTGAATATTTTTGTTTTTCTTGGGTTTTCCAGCATTTTCGAACCCAAAACTTCAAACATGTCAGTGTAACAATATTTGATCTATTATACTAACCCCCCAAATAGTTCAATTCTGAAAATTACAGCAAAAGCCAATGATGTACATTCCCTTTAATTATCTTACCTGTAAGTATTCTTTGTCTATTTTCTCTGCAATGTTTGGAAATAAATGTCTATTGAATTTAATTGAATTGAAGCTGCGTAAATACCTCATTCTGTAACACCCATTGCGCTATTTATATTCTTGTAAAATTGCCATCAGTGGAGAACATTTTCCAAAGTGAAAGAAAATGTGTTGAATATTTCCATCTGTAAATTGCCTTTATCATATTTTCAAATAATATTCAATGACTTTTGTCTGTCTGATAGAGATGAAATATTCATCGCGTTTTGGTGTAAACATGCGATATCGCGTAGCAACAGGCGCGAACAACAAACCGTCTTTGTTGGGGAGGCGTATATATAGACGCATTAATAAAACAAATCAAATATCATGAAAATTTAATTGTACATGTGGTAGTCTTTGTATTTCTCAGCCCTGTGTGTTTTTCTGTGGTATAAGCGGACCCATGACAATGGCCATATTTTGCTCAATATTAAGTACCGATCCCATGAAAATTACAACTTCAGATCTGAAAGATACACAAGATCCTTTGCTCTTCGTGCATATTTGTGTTTTCATTTGAAGCAACATATTGCTCAAAGGCTTAATCCTAAAGGAGCCGGGTTATTTAGACCATCTCACAGCCGGGGGCGGGGGCGGATGCCCCCCCCCCCCCCCCCAGATCTTGGTCATTGATTGACGAAAAATTTGGTGAAATTTGGTGCATACATAGAACAACTTAATATAAACATACCCAATAAATTTCATGACTATAGGTTAAAGGGTTTTGGAATTATCTGCTAATTAATTATGCTAGCCAAAAACCTGTATCAATTTGTGGCTAATTTTATTAACTGTTTAGGGTTAAATTATTAGATATGTTTATTAAAAACACTGACAAGATTGCCTCAGGATACACGTTGTACATGTATGCCCATTCTTGCTTCTGAGACATTTATAAAAGAAAAACATGCGGGCCAGTGACAATGCCCGCGGGCTAATTAAGAGTCTTTTTCAGTAGCCCGGCTGACTTGTGAAAAATAACAAGTAACGGTCGAACCCTGCCATTAACACTTAATAAATCATAATAGCATTGGCTGACACAACCTGCACGATTGCGAATATATAGCTATATCAAAAACTAGTAAATAATTCAACTGACTATCGGTACAAGCCATTGGTAAGCACACGGTTTCCCTTAATTGATGCTCATTTGAGAACCGTGTCACGCTTCACGGGGCGCGCCTTTTCAGCAGCTGCGGATCCGCAAAACAAAAATGACACAACGCACCATTCATCATTCTTATGATGACAGAACATTTATTCAGGCCTAAATTTGTATTTACAAGATTCGATGACGCTTCACGGTTGTTCTTGCGGCCAGGAGGCATTTCCGTCCACTTGATAATATCACTACCCTTAAAAAACAATTAAGGATGTTTTATTCTCATTTGGAAGCATCATTTAAAAATTCGAACGAACAGTTTTCTCAAAATGATTTTCTTGGACTTAGGGTGGAGCAAGAGGCCACTTTTTCCATTGATTGCGATACGGGGCCATTCGATAAATTTGAGATCCACTTTTGTCCTGTCATCTGACATCTATCGATGATCTTATGTTTCTGAATGCACTCTTCAATGCAGTCGTCTTCCAAGAGTAATTATATATAGCAAACTACCTACCCAACAAAATAATTTTTAAAATAGTTTTTAGTCATTTTTAATTAAACTTGAATGGTAAATTACAGAGGCTAGAGACAACAGGGACAGGACAAATGTCAAACTCTGGACCGTAGATTTATAGAATGACCCTTAGGTAGAAATCCTTAATGATGACAGTCACGAAAGGCTTTGCTAACTTGGACTTAATGTTTACAAATAGACTAACCATGGATGTCTTGATATACATCAAGTTTCAACAGAATCTGCCATTGCACTGGTAGGCCTAATAATATCTGGCCGTGAGAAGGTCAAAAGCCCATACCCGTTTGCTGAAGGCTCAGCTTATTTAAGTCTTAAAGGGCCATGACTTTAAGACTTAAAGGATCATTACTTAAAGTCGATAATCGAACATTCGTATAGCATTGCAACACCGGATATCTGGGGGTTTATTAAGGTATAATATAGAAGCGTCTAGTTGACGTGTTGATGCGGTTATCGATAATTGCTTATTGCGCGCATCATGATTTATCAGAAGTTGTGTGTATGCGCAAGTATAGGTTTTCCCGGCTATTTTAAAACATTTTTCATTCAAATTCACCAACTCCAACATTCAATTTCGGCCGAGAAACAAATTCACATGCTTTCAACAAAACCAATTCAGTCATTTACCATTCAATTTTAAAATTTGGTCACCCACTTTAGCCACCAGGTTGAGAATATTCGTCATTTCAGATCAAATTCGTCTAAGCTGTTGATGAATGGCAGCATTCAAAGATCGAATTCGTCTTATATAAATCAATTAGACGCATTTGATTTCTGAATAACAGGGTTGGGCGTAAATGAGACGAAATCGAATATTCCTGGACGAAAACGTGTGCTCATTGTTTTAATTTGCTGGAACCGAATTTAAATTGTCTGACAAAAGATTAAATTAAACATTCGAAGTGTACTAAATTGATGTTGATTGATCTGGACGAATTTCAATGTTAGAAACGGTAAATTCGAATGATAAACGTTTTAAAATAGCCGGAAAATCTATATTAGCAATACTCAGTTGTGTCTGTACCAAATTTTTAATATTCGTAGTTAACCTGTATTTAATTGAGCATTAAACGGCCTTTCTCCATTCTCTTTGCAGGATAGTGATTCACGATCACCGTGACTTTCCCTGCCGAAGCGTTTCACACGTCACGCTTCTTTCCTACCGCTAGTGGCGCACCTGGACACTTCATTCACTTTCCCTCGTCTGCAGCCTGATCGTGCCAGCGGTGACCAGTCAGCCGTTTATTTAGTTAACTTCCCGGTGCTTTCAATCAAACAAGCGTCCCATCCCGAGGGACAGAGATCAAGGCAGGGCCATTTGATTTGTCATCTTCAGCCTGACACGCAGTGCCTCTTTTTTACTCCTGTTTGTATTCATTTCAACGAGTTTAGCAGTGACGAGCAGACGATACTCTTATTGGTTGAACTTCCACCTTGGAGATTTCCGCGCGCGCAGCAGGCTCCACTCACCGTCGACTCACCGCGTGCGCGTTACCCAACATCAAACGATCATCAGTTCGCATTCATCCACTCTGCGCCGGGCTTACAGGTTGCGATTAGTCGATGCAGAGGGAACGTAAATTCGTCATCAGGCTGGAGGACAGGCGTACGAGAGCCGGCGGGTTCCCCGGAGATGATTGATGTGAGATCTTGAAGGCTAGCGTAAACAGAGTACAGACCTCGTCTGACCGTGGTCGGCTTGCTACGTGACTTACTGTCCGTATGATCTCTGCAGTGCAGAATCTCCTCGGATTCCAGGATTTCGACTCTTTAAGCATCACGCTGTTATTTCTTGAATGCACTCTTATAATTTTTGTCCAGGGTGGTTCTGCGAAGTGAGCAACTCGTTAGGAAGACCATGTTTACACCGATTGGAAAAGATCCATGTTATCAAAAAGGCATTCAAGTAAACTTGGCGTCGCAGGCTAACGTGGACGGGTCTTATAGCCCACTGATAATTTCATGTCGAAAGGCACTGTGTATTCGCAATGGATCCTTATTCACTTTGACGGTGATTCAGTTTTGAGTCAAACCATGTTTCGATGATTGCAGTGCGAAGTCGATTGACAAAGAGTTTTTTTTTTCTGATACTGTTTAGTGTGAGTGTGGGTCAACATGTACGGACTTTTAGTGGAAAACACCATTGAGGTGATTAAAAAAACGTACGGCGAGGAAGCGTGGCTGATTATCCGCGAGAAGTCGCGCATCCACGAGTACACGTACGTGACGCACCGCATGTACAGCGAGCGGATCATCCCGCGGCTGGCCCAGGCCGTCAGCGAGTACGCCGGCTGCACCGCCGAGGAATTCATGGATCTCACGGGCAAGGAGTTCGTCAAATTCCTCAGTAAGTACGGGTACGATAGGATGCTTCGCGTGCTGGGCCGGAGCATGAGCGACTTCATGAACGGCTTGGACAACCTCCACGAGTATCTTCGCTTCAGTTACCCCAAAATGAAGCCGCCAAGCTTCTTCTGCTCGGACGAAAGCAGCCAGGGGTTGACCCTCCACTACAGGTCACGCAGGCCGGGTTATTTGCATTATGTCAAAGGTCAACTGAAATCCGTCGGGCGGATGTTCTACAACCTCGACGTCGCTGTGCAGGTGATGTCTGAGGAAACTCGTGGTGACACGACTTTTGTGGTCTTCAAACTTTTGTTTGACAATAAAGAGTTTATGGAGAGGGACAGGCACAGCTATGCACTGGAGAAATCTTCGGTCGTGAAGGCATCGCTGTTCTTTGACCTGTTTCCGTTTCACATCATGTTTGACCGGAAGATGAAGATCAAGAATATTGGTAAGTACGCAGTCTGAATCCACCCCCCCCCCCTCCTGAAAGCTAAACCCCACTTCTGAACCAAACCTGGCTCCGACCCTGAAGATACATCAATGGATGAAGCAGGGTATATATAACCCTTTGGGGGTTTAAAAAAACCCATCTTATATATCCGTTGATAGATAAGACACACTAATTTCATTTTGATACCTACTTCTTAAATGTTTATGTTTACAATAAACAGCTCTACCTGAAAATTACATTTAAACATATTTGAAAAGTTGATATGGATGTGACAAATAAAGCAGAAGTAGAAAGTAAAAATAAAATAACAGACATGTACTAAAAGAGCAACAACCACGGCTACTAAAATCCAAGACTCTGGCAAACTTAAACAGGCCAAAAAATACATGACATACGTAAACTGTAATGAAACTATCAAACGCACATGCATGCCTTGACGCTTGGTCAATTTGTTATTAAAAACCGAAGCTGCATTCTTTAATCAGAAAATGCAAAAAAAAAACCAGTCAGTTGGCACTTTATACCGTGCGTAGTCCCTCCAGTGCAGTCTCGATACGATCAGACTGTGAACAGACCTCGTGTGACGCGAATGACCCTTTAAGCCGTCGGTTTTCAAGCGTCAGTTGTCAAGCGTGGTGTGAAAGCCGCCCATGAGGCACTTTGCGCGCAAGTTCATACGAAGACGTTCACGTGTTGACACGTCCAACGCCGATGATGTTTTCTGTTGACACAGAAACTAGTGCAAAGGTAACGCGGTAGTGCGCTAGAAGTCACGTACCCTGTACTGTAAAACTTGAGGATGGCATATTGCATTGAATTTATAAACTTTACATTTTTTTTCACGGCATGGTAATGCTGGTAGTTGGTCAATCAGATCACGTTTGGTTTATTTGACTGTTTGTTTCTTTTGGTTTGGACTCTTTGGCGGTCGTAGTGTGCGGTTTCTTTGATTCTATGTTCTTTGAACATGAGCAACCCTGTTGAAATTTGAAAAATTATTCTTCGTATGTCAACTTTTTTTTCTGAAGCAGCTGCAACAATAAGCTTATTTGGTTTTCCAACGTGGTTTGACGTTTTTGACAAGTGGATGAAAACAGGATTTGACATGTGGATAAACACAGTCGTTTAAGTCAGTTAAACATTTTAGTTGAGTGAATATTGTGAACACGTACAAATCCTCGTTTTTATCGTGCGCAACCACAGTTATATGGCGCAAGTTTATTTGGGTGTGTCGAGAGAATTTGGCCCATAGCGCTAACGGATTACCGTTTTCAAAATGTTAAGCAGTATTTTACGGTTTTTATAGAATCGTGTCAGGCAGTGTCCTCCTCACTTCATAGATATATGTGGCTGTTTCATGTTTATACCAAATATGTTGTTAGTGTGAATACCCAAAAGACGGTCGGATGAACGCGATCCCGATATCGGCGTTAGGTTTATACCAAGTGAAGCCACGCGATGTGGGCTGGTTTGTTGATGAAAGCATTACCGATTGTTTCTGAGTTGCACGAGAGGAGCGGAAACATTGCCGTGCGAGCGGGACAGGTGTTTCATCGGATGGAAACAAATTGCCGTTGCCTGCGTCGTTGTGGCCGCTTTATCGAGCTAAGTGGTGGGTAGCCGTGATAGTCAGGCAGATTTAGTTGGAATTTCTCTTTGGTATATAGCACCTATTAAAATAATAAGTTGCATCAGCTTTCGAAGTAACAACTACAGAGTGTGCCAAAAAAAGGCACAATTCAGAAAACAAATAATTTAAGTTGTTTAATGTTTTTTTCCAATAATATTGAAGTCTGGCGATTTCTCAAGCCACTCCTTTTTACCCCATTCCATTTGAGTCCCTAGATCCAGAAATACAATCAATTAAGGGAAAGGGTGTAAATTTTACTTAGGCCACTCTCACCTGGACATGCTGAACCTGGTTAAGCATTGAATAGGCATTGAAGTCGGTGACATCACAGGTGAGAGTGGCCCAAGTAAATTTACACCCTTTCACTCACGTCTAGGGACGTCTTGGGACGTGGGTAAAAAGAAATGAATTGAGAAAAAGTCAGGCTTTAATGTAATATATAATTTAATTGAAGATAAAAAAATCAAACAGTTTTAAGTATTGTTTTCTGAATGTTGCACCTTTCTTGGCACACTCTGTAGGCTGTACTTCATCAGACGCAGTAAAGAATGACATTACAGAGCAAAGTTTATGCACAATTTGATGGGAAAACCCCGATGAGAATGGGGCCGATAGTTATCGTGTCATACATTTTATTTCGTGAATTCCACGGGAAATATGCCGTGAATTTGGACTACTGTGCAAAAGCGAACTCGAATGCGAAATTGTGACGACACGGGGAGGTGATCGCGTTGCGAATCCGCATAAGTTGAACGCAGTTTATCTGCGAAGTTTCGTGACGTCCAATTCGCGTTTCACATTAACCGGCCCTTCTGTCTGCTCATTCATACCTGACACTCATGTTGTTTTCAAGTTCAACCTGTGCTATCTCTGTCTACTAGTCGGCTTTCCACAATCTGTATGGTTTTACGATCTTCAATTTTTGGACACAGGTTCGAGGATGACCTTAACCCTATACCTCTACCTGAATTAATGGATTTCGTTGTCAATCTTATATTCTTCCTAGTATTGATTTTTGGCTATTCACGGTAAATCCTTCCGCCTCCTCGGCCGTTTTGATTCAGTTCTATTTTTGGCTGGAAATGGATGAGTTCCATAGGAATGAGTTTCTTTCTTCAGCGATCAATGTGTTCTTCTGTCAGTAAAATAAATTATAATAATCTGGTGGTTAGCGCTTTATACCATGCATAGTCACAAGTGCTTAATACTTGTCACCCAATGGTTCAGCAGGACATGATACCAGTTATCTCAGCAGCTCCAGACCAGCACAATCAGGTCTGTGTAAACAAAACTACCGTATAGCTTGTCGCAAACCATCCGTTTGAGTGATCTGCCTATACATGGTGTTTCAATAAAAAGGAAACCCAACTTTGAAGAACCAGTATGGACAGACTAAATGTTTACTGGCTATAAAACTGGTATCATCTGAAAGCGTAATCTCTATATGCTTTTCAATGATACCTTGTTTACATTTCAAGGTTCATGCATCACTGAGCGCCACAAATTGCAGTTGGTTCACTTTCATGTCAAACACAATAGGCATGGTGTGCATGAGATAAGTATTCAAGAAGGACGATTTTGTCATGAATTTCTCGTTTTGACCAAGCCACGTTCAAAACATATAAAGTGCATAAAAACATAAAAAGTGCATAAAAAGAAACCAAAAAAAACACGTTGGGTTGGTTTCAAAACTGGATTTTATTGTTGGTCATGAATTTCTCTTTTTGATCAAGCCACGTTCAAAAGAATGTGCCATTTTCCCGAGGATTAACGTTCAAGCCATTTCACAGACATTTCCGTAACAATAGGCACACCGTGCCCAGTGGGTTTTTTTACGAAAGTGAACCAACTGCATTTTTGCATCCAGTTTTCAAGATAATGATGCTCAGTGATGCATGACTCAGACAACCTAAACACGGTATCATTGAAAAGCATAGAGATTACGCTTTCAGATGATACCAGTTTTATAGCCAGTAAACATATCGTCTGTCCATACTCAATCTTTGAAGTTGGGTTTCCTTCTTTTTTTTAAACACCCTGTATTATACCCAACACGGAGAAACCTTTTAGCTGCGACGCCAATGAGACATTACTCTGCTGACACTTTTGACTTCTAAATTTGGACGTAATCAGTAAACCTTTCTTCACAGCTAAAACTTGACTTAAACGACTTCCCTGACACTTTGGCGAAGTGTAACGTGTCCACGGAATAACAATCGTGAGCCCAAAATAGCTCATGACCGCTTTGCGTCATGTCGTGTATAGCAAAATATAACATTACCGAAATGATTTATCAAAACAAACTATAGGGGCAGTTGTTTAATGTAAATCAATCATCCCTTGCTTTTCCCAGCATAAAACGGCAAGCTCTAAATATTTACAGATATTTTCCCACCGTACGGGGATTGATCGCATCTTCTCTGGAAAATATAATGCTGGATCATTCGGTGTCGATAACTTTCTTGCATCATGCTTTTGGGCCAGCGACCGAAGCCTTAACTATGATTGAGAATCTTGTACTAAATGACAGAATCATTATCCACAAGCCATGTATCAACCACCTATGTCTGCCCTTCAAGGAATTTTCTGTAAAAGACATCCAATCTGCCTGTTTTTGAGCAGGCCCTCCCGGTGCTTTAAGATTCGCCCGTAAATCAAACATTTTCCCTTTGCTATCGTTATCGCGGTAATCAGAGATTGCAAAGAGCAGCCAACACTTGACGGGGGAATAATACGAGATTTGCGGTCACGTAAGAGCGGCTGGGCGCTCCGCGGTACGACGGCGTGCAGCCCAAGCGTGCGCTCACTCATAAATCGAATTACGCGCACTAAAAGCAACCATAATGAAATGGACTCGTCAAGATTGGATTAGGAAACCCGACGGCTGTTTAAGGATTCATCTCAAAACACCTGAGCAGTCTACCGCAGTTCACTGTTGTCCGGAACAGCAGTGGAATTGCGGCGTTTTTTCTTCCCTTCTGTCTAACATGAACAAGGGAACAGCGTAGATCAGTGTTTGGACGTTGCACTTACATGTACCGTTGCCTTTTCAAATTTCGGTCGAAGATTTTGAAAAGAAGGTGATCTTTGAAGTGCCGACCATCTCAGTAGATTTCTCTGTAAATACATTTACACCTTTGGAAGTAGGCCTCGTATTAAATCTGTCTGTGGAGTAATTAGTTAATGCACTTCGTGAACCTAACAAATGGTCCGAAGTATAATAGGTATATATTTTTCATTGAAATTTGTCTTTCCCCTATGCAAAATTTATCTAAGACATTAAACAATATTCGAAGCTTTTGAAAAAATTTGGGAAATTAGGAAAATGTTCTAAAGCTATTGAAAATAAATGTTCGGAAAAAATCTCTGGTTTTCAATTGAAAC